AATCTGTCAGTTTCACCTTTGTAACATCTCCGGAGTATATTCCGTTCTCTCCTCTGACACACTCTGCTTTAGGCCCCCATTTTCCTAATGCCTGGACTGTCCCAATAACCTGCTGGCGAGTCTGCCTGCCTCAAGGTTCTCCCCAGTTCAGCCCAACCTCCAGCCATTTTCGTAAAGCACAGGTCTTAACATGTCACCTTCCTACTCAATACTCCAGTGGCTCCATATTGCCTCCAGGATCAAAAACAAAATCTTCTGGTGTTCAGACCTTTTTATGACCTAGCTCCTACCCCACCTTCACAGTTGTACACCTTACACACCCCTGCATCTTCACTCCAGTGACAATGGCCTCCTTGCTGTTTCACAAACAAGATAATTGACCTCATGGAAATGGCACTTTCTCTGGATGTCCCCCATACCTGAAATGATCTCCCTCATCCCCATTTCTTAGCTTCCTTCAAGTCCCAGCTAAAATCCCACCTTCTACAAGAAGCCTTTCCCAATCTCTCTTAAATCTAGTATTTTTCTCAGTTAATCACTTCCTCTTTATCCTATATGTATGTACATGTATATATAGTTTGCACATAGTGGTTTGCATATTTTGCCGCCATTAGATTATGAGTTCCTCTAGGGCAAGGTCTATCAATTAACTTTCTTCATATCCCCAGCGTTTGGCACACAGTAGGCACTTAATAGATATTTATGGACTATTGATTGAAAGAACATGAGAGGAAATTAACTGAAACCAATGCTGTGGGAAATCAAGTAAGAATCTGCCTCCTTTAGAGGGTTTTTACTCATTCAGATTCTTTGATTTTTCAGTAAAGTGTACTGTGGCTGAAATCCTCACATTCTTTACATTCACTTCGGTTTTTCTTTAAATTAATTATTTTTATTTTGAATTTAATAATCTTCACAAAACATTTCATTACAAAAACAAAAAAGGTGATTGTATAAGGACCATTAACTTAGTTAACATAGCTTCTTTAAAGCATATATAAAATTTAACATGGTAGTAACAAAATTGCCTTAAAACATTTTTTTCTGGGGGGAGAGAACTCTTTAAATGTTTTCACAATTGATTTTTTAAAAACTTCTTTCATTACAAACTCATACCAACTTGAACAGAAGCCTTTCCTCATAATAGATGTAGTTTAGCAAAATGAACATGCTGTCTGTTCTAAAGATGAATTTCTCACGGTCTGCCTGTGTCTATCACCTCCCTGACAAAGGGTGAGTGGCATACTGGTTATTGCTTTGAGAAATGCTACTTTTCAAAGCTGTTTGATTTTAAATGATTTGTGATCATTGTGTAAAATGGTTCTGGTTCTGTTCATTTTACTTTCTGCCAGTTCATACAAGTCTTCCTAGCTCTCTCCAAACTTATTATGCACAATATTCCATTTCATTCATATACCACAATTTGGTAATTTCCCGATTGGTAGACACCTGCTTCAGTTACAATTCTTTGCTACAACAAAAAGTGCTGACATAAATATTTTATACATAGAGGCTCTCTGTATCTCTGACCTTTTGGGAATATATGCCTAGAAATGGTAAGACTATATCAGAAGTTTAGTAAATTTTTGACTCATTTCAAATCACTTTCTAAAACAGTTGGACCAATTCATAGCTCCCCCCATCAGTATTGTCTTACTCAGGCCATCAAACAATGTACATTTTTCATCTAAACCTAAACTATTCATTACATTCATATAGTTTCCCATTCATAAGTCTTCTCTACAAGAGGAATTTCTGATTCACAGTAAGATCTATAAGGCAGCCAGATGGCACAGTAGATATTGCACTGGCTTGGAATCTGGAAGACTCATCTTCCTGAGTTAGAATTTGATCTCAGAAACTTACTAGCTGTGTGGCCCTGGGCAAATCACTTAACCCTGTTTGCCTTAGTTCCTCATCTGTTTAAAAAAAAGAGCTGGAGAAGGAAATGGCAAACCACTCTAGTATCTTTACCAAGAAACCCCCAAGTGGGGTCACAAACAGTTAAGACATGACTGAAACGACTGAACAAGATCTGTGCTTTGAAGGGTTTTCTACACTGATTAAAAGCAAGTGTTCTCTCTCTCTAGTATAGATGGGTAAAGAGTAAGGCATTTGGAGGAAAAATCTTCCCTCAATAATTATCCATTAACTTTCTCTCCAGTGTGAACTCTTATATTGAGTAAAATATTCTCAGTTGAAAGGACTTTTCATATTCTGTTGTTCTCTAGCTACAATTATCTGATGTAAAATAAAGTATATGCTCTGAGGGAAAAACTGCTGATGCTCATTACGTTCATAAAGTTTCTATCTAGTATGAAACATTTGATGTTGAATAAAATATAGCATAACCTTGAAGACTTTCCCACACTCATTACACATTGTCTTTCTAATGTGAATTATCTGGAGAGCAAATTCTGTGTTCTAGTAGAAAGTATTTTCACATTCAACGAATTCAGGTTTCTCTCCAGTATTAATTACCTGATGTACATTAGGGTTTCCTCTTTTATCGAAAACCTAAAGACATTCCTTATACTTTTAAGGTTTTTTTTTCCCCCAAGATAAATTCTCTGATATTCACTAAATTTTAAGCTTAGGCAAAATGCCTTCCCATAATCGTGTGTGAAGAAAGCACCATTAGCAATTCCTAAAAGGCAAATGTGGCATCATGGAAAGAGCTTGTTGCAAAGTGAGGAAGACTTGTTACACAAGTACCACCGCTAACACATACTTGTGTTCACCTGGGGACGTCACCTGGTTTTCCCAAGCAACTCTCTAAGATTACAGGTTGTAGAGAAGGCACAAAGGCTTGGTAGAGAGAGCTTCCTCATCTAGGAGGCTCCTGTATCAATGAAGCAACAGATCTAGTCCCTATCCCTATCCCCTATGAGTTTTCTAATGTATATTACGGTTTTCTCTCCAGTAGACCTTTCCACAATTATTACATTTTAAAGAATTTCCCCTAACATAAATACTATGAGGTACACTAAGTTGTCAGCTCAAATGGAATGCCTACTAACCTTCAATATATTTATAAAGTTTCTCTCCAGAATGAATTGGCTGATGTCAGAGAGAAGCTCTGGGCTCTGAAACACCTTCCCACATTTATACAGTATCTTTCAAGTATGAGTTAGTCTGATGCTTGAATAAGATTTGAGCTCTGGTCAAATTCCTTCCCATATTCATTAGGTTTCCCTCTAGTATGAACTGTCTGATGTGCAATAAGATGTGGCTTCTGGCGGAAGAACTTCCCACATTCATTACATTTATAAGGCTTTTCTCCAAGATGAATTCTCCGATGGAGAATAAGTTGTGAACTCATTCTGAATGCCTTTCCACATTCCTTGCAATCATAAGGCTTCTCTCCAGTATGACTTCTCTGATGTGCAGTAAGATGTGCAGTCTGGCGGAAGAATTTCCCACATTCATTACACTTATAAGGTTTCTCTCCAGTGTGAATTCTCTGGTGGAGAGTAAGTTCTGCATTTCGGCAGAAAGTCTTCCCACATTCATGACATTCATATCGTGTTTCTCTATTGTGAATCTTCTGATGTAGAGTAAGACTTCTGCTCCGGACAAAGACTTTCCCACACTCACTGCATTCATAAGACTTCTCTCCTCCAGAATGAATTCTCTGATGTTGAGTAAGGTCTGAGCTCTGGCGGAAGGCCCTTTCACATTTGTTACATTTATATGGTTTCTCTCCAGTATGAATTCTCTGATGTGAATTAAGATGTGCATTTTGTCGGAAGAATTTCCCACATTCATTACACTTATATGGTTTTTCTCCAAGATGAATTCTCTGATGGAGAATAAGTTGTGAGCTCATTCTGAATGCCTTTCCACATTCCTTGCAATCATAAGGCTTCTC